TCGTCATCGTCACCATCATCGGCAACACGACAACCAGCATGACCAGAATCATCACCATCGCCGTCACCAGCATCAACATCATCATCACCATCACCATCACCATCATAATCAATACCAGCATCACCATCACCATCATCACACTCAACATCATAAGCATCATAAGCATCATAAGCATCATCCGTCGCATCATCATCATCATCATCATCATCATCATCATCATCATCATCAGCATCATCATCATCAGCATCACCATCATCAGCATCATCATAATAATCGTCATCATCGTCATCATCAGCATAATCATCATCAGCATCATGGTCACGACCATAATCATCATCTTCATCATCAACATCATCGCAATCAGCATCACCATCATCATCATCAACAACAACATCAGCATCAGCATCAACAGCATAATCATCGGCATCCCGGTCACCACCACCATCATCATCAGCATCAGCATGATCATCATTATCATCATCAGCATCATCACCATCATCATCACCATCATCATCATCATGATCATCATCATCATCATCATCATCATCATCATCATCATCATCATCATCATCATCATAATCGTCAGCATCATCATGATCAGCATCGTCACTATCCTCATCCTCAGCCTCATCCTCCTCATCCTCATCCTCCTCCTCCTCATCATCATCCTCATCCTCATCCTGATCCTGACACTGACCCCCATCCTCCTCCTCCTGCTCATCCTCCTCATCCTCATCCTCATTATCATCAGTAGCATCATCAGCATCAGCATCGCAATCACCATTACAATCACCATCACCATCACCATCATCATCACCATCATCATCAAAACCATCATCAGCATCGTCATCATCATCATCATCATCATCATCACCATCATCATCGTCATCATCATCATCATCAGCATCATTGTCATCCTCATCAGCATCCTCACTGTCCTCATCATCACCATCATCACCACCCGTTCATCATCATCATCATCATCATCATCATCATCATCATCATCATGATCATCGTCATCATCATGATAATCATCATCATCACCCACATCACCATCATCTCCATCATCATGATCATCATCTTCACCATCACCATCACCATCACCATCATCATTACCATCACCATCACCATCACCGTCAGCATCAGCATCAGCATTAGCATCCGCATCATCATCAGCACTAGCATCATCCTCATCACCCTCATCCTCATCATCCTCATCCCCATCCTCATACTCATCAGCATCAGCATCAGCATGAGCAGCATCAGCATAAGCATAAGCATCATCATCATCATCATCATCATCATCATCATCATCATCATCATCATCATCAACAACACAAATCATCATAATCGTATTAATCATCATCATCAGCATTTCATGATCATCATCATCATCATCATCAGAATCCTCGTCCTCAGCCTCATCATCCTCCTCATCCTCATCCTCCCCCCAATCCTCATCCTCATCCTGATCCTGATCCTGACCCTGACCCTGACCCTCATCCTCCTCCTCCTCATCATCATCCTCATCCTCATCCTCATCCTCATCATCATCATCATCAGCATCATCTAAACCACCATTACCATCACCATTACCATCAACATCGCCATCACCATCACCATCATCATCATCATCATCATCATCACCATCATCAGCATCATCATCGTCATTATCGTCATCATCGTTATCATCCTCATCATCATCCTCACTGTCCTCATCATCACCATCATCACCACCCCTTCATCATCATCATCATCATCATCAACAGCAGCATCATCATCACCATCATCATCACCATCACCATCAGCGAAAGCACAAGCATCAGCACTAGAATCAGCATCATCAGCACTATCATCATCCTCATCACCCTCATCCTGATTATCCTCATTATCATCCTCATCATCATCAGCATTAGCACTAGCATCAGCATCATCAGCAGCAGCATCAGAATGATCATCATCATCATCATCATCATCATCATCCTCATCATATTCATCATCATCAGCATCATCATCAGCATCATCATCGTCGAGCGCACTCACTCACTCACTCACTCACTCACTCATTCAGTCACTCACTCACTCACTCACTCACACACTCACACATTCATCTTGAGGAAGTCTCGAGCGAGGTCCTCGTCCGTGAGTGAATCGCGAGGAAGGCTCGAGCGGGAGATCCCCCCATCGGGCCCGCACTTCATGTGACTAATTCGAGCGGGTCATCGCAATATCTTGTGTAAAGGCTGGTTCTCCGCCGAAGAAGTCGGAGAAGCTGGAGACGCCAGAGACGCTGGAGAGGCCGGAGAAGCCGGAGACGCCGGAGGAGCCGGAGACGCCGCGCGGAGAAGCCGGAGACGGCCGAGGACGCCGGAGAAGCCTGGAGACGCCAAAAACGCCAGAGAGGCCAGAGAGGCCAGAGGGGCCGGAGAGGCCAGAGCGGCCGGAGAGGCGGGCCAAGAAGTGTTCATGACTCGACGGCCCCGCCGAGGAGGAGAGGTGGTGGGAGGGTCGCTCGAGGCGGGCGGGCCCTCGTCCGCCGCCCGCGGCCCAGGGCGGCCCTGCTGGCCCCGGGGCGGGGGGGCGTCTCTGTTAGAGCGGGGGCTCGATGCGGGGGGGGGGGGGGGGCAAGCCCGGTGCGCTCGCGGCATATCCGCTGCCCCTCCCACCCATCCAGTCCCATTGAGCACCACCCGCCGACGCATGGCATGGCAGACCCGAGGCTCCCCAGAAGAACCCCCGCGTGTCATGCCCTATCAGAGAAGGGGAGCAGGGTACGTTGGGGGGGAGGTGGCGGACGAACAGGTGGATGAGCAGAAGGAAAAGGAGGAGAGAGGAGGTAGCAGAGGGGGGAGAAGGGAGCAGGGGTGCAGGAAGCAAGCAGCACGAGGAGGAGGAGGAGGAGGAGGAGGTTGAGGGGGAGGAGGAGGAGGAGGAGGAGGAGGAGGAGGAGGAGGAGGAGGAGGAGGAGCTGGAGGAGGAGGAGGAGGAGGAGGAGGAGGAGGAGGAGGAGGAGGACACTCACCCGCTCCGCGAAAGCTCTGCACAGGGGGAAGCTCCGACCTGGCATAATTCTGGGCAGGTTTTCGAAATCAGCGCTTTGAGGTCGAGACGTCTAGGTAGCTTGGGCTTGGCCACAGTATGCAGCTGGGCTTCTGTCGAGCACGGAGACGGCATTCGAGACAGATCCGGAGAGAGGATAGAGGACGACCAGTTGAGATGGGGTTTCGTACGCCACAGAAGGTCGACAATGGGGGAGACAGGTGGCAGGGCCGAGGGTGAGGATGAGGGAGGGTGAGGAAAATCTAGAAGGTAAGAACGAGGAGCACGAGGGACCAGAGGGGGAGGAAGGGAGGGAAGAGGAGAAAGAGCAGGAAGAGGAGGCGGAGCAGGAAGAGAACGAGAAGGAGGTGGTCGAGGATGAGGAGGAAGAGAAGGAGGAGGATCCGCAGAAAGAGAGAGGGCCGAGGCTGGGGGCGGACTAGGAGGAGCAGGACGAAAACGCAGGAGGGATGAATGACGAGGCTTGGAGTCGGAGGCGGCAGAAGAGTTGAATAGGCCAGAAGAGAAGGCATGACACGCATGTCTCTGGGAGCATCGCCGGGCATGGGCGATCGACGCCCCTGGAAACGTGCAGTGCTCTCCCCTGGTGCAGTCGGACCGAAGACAGGCGAACATCCTTCAAGAACACGGGATCCTCCGCCGGCCAAAAAAACACCCCAAACCATGAGATCACTTGACGGTACCCTCACCCGAGATGCACAAGAACGTCCAACAAGCACGAAGAACATTAGAGGATCCTCCCCGAGCCGACCTCGATCTTACATCTCGGTCCGACTGTAAGGGGGGCCAACATTCAGCACCACCCCTGTTCCCCACACAAGGTCGCCCGCACGAGAGCGCCAATGTACAGATCACCCCCCCTAGAATACACAATACGCAGGACCCTTCCCCAGGGCAGTCGGTCTGCAAGGGAGCTTCATTTGCAAATGACCCAAACCGACCCTTCCCGAAACCCCTCTGGCCTGGGGTGGGCCCGTGAACAAATGAGACGGCTGGTCGACCCGGACGAATTCCCCAAGCGCGCGGCGGTTCGCGAAAGGGTGGGTGACCAAAACACAGAAATATGACCACCGATTCCCGACACACCTTGGTCACAGACACGGGGTTCCGACGCATCTGCGGGCGGGAACGGGCCCCTCCGACTTCCTGACATCGCTTCCGCGGCAGGGGCGCGGTGGATTGAAAAATCGTACCCCCCCGTTCACTCCAAAAACACCTGCGAGGGACCGCGGCAGCCGACGACGGTAGCCGACGACCGAAGCCGACGACGGCAGCCGACGACCACGACGACGACGACGCCCACGACGACGAGGACGACGACGACGACGACGACGACGACGACGACGACGACGACGACGACGCCGACGCCGACGGCGACGGCGACGGACGACGACCGACGACGACCAACGACAATGACGCGCGCGATGCGGATGCCCCATGGGGGGAGGGTGTGCTGCAACGGCCCACCGTACTCGACGACGACGACGACGAGGACGACGACGAAGACGAGGACGACGACGACGACGCCCAGGGCGATGACGACAACGCGACGACGACGACGACGACGACGGACGACGACGAGGCCGACGACGACGACGACAACCGACAACGAAGACGGACGACGACGATGACGACGACGACGACGACGACGACGACGACGACGACGACGGATGATGACGACGACGACGACGACGACGACGACGACGACGACGACGACGACGACGACGACGTCGGCGAAGCGCGCCACTGCGGATGGATGCCCCATGAGGGGGGACTGCTACGAGGGTACGCCGTAGTCGACGAAGACGGCGACGACGACGATGACGACGACGACGACGAGGACGACGCACGAGGACGACGGTCGACCACGACGCACGAGGGCAGGACGATAGAGGAGGACAGGCGGGAGGACGAGCAGGAGGCCCAGGCGCCGCCGGCGCCTTCGACAGCGACAGCTGCGGGCTCGGGATCTCATCGTCGGGCCTGAGGGCGGAGGAGCGGCTCTCTCCCTTCGGCCGGCTGCGGGAGCGAGGGCAGCATCGCGCTGAGCAGCCGCAGTCAGCCAGCCAGCCAGAAGCCAGAGGCCGGGCCGCGACGCCTGGGGCTCCGCCGCGAGAGAGGGCAGCCTGCGGCCGGAGCAGCGAGCCGATGCAGTGCCCCGCAGGGGGGCACGGCAGGCCGTCGCGCCCGCCTGCTGGCCGACCTGTGGCGCGCGGCCGCGAGCTGTGCAGGTAGGCCTCGAAGCAGCGGAAAGAAGCGCTCGAAAGAGCATCCCGCCAATGAGTCGTGCGTGCTGTGCTGAAGCGCCAACAGCGAAGCGAGAGGCCGCAAACGCAAAGAATGTGTGCCCAGAACTGCCGTTCTTTCAGCAGCGTACGGCCGACGCGCGGGGGGGGGGACCAACGACTACGACGTCACCCTCCGAGCCAAAACAAAAAAACACCAAGCAGCGACAATCGCATCTCCCATTCTCGTGCACTTCTTTTCCTCCTCCTGCCCCAGTCACCCTTCTGCTCTTTTTTTTCCTGGCCGTGCACTTATCAGATTCATCCTCTTCCCCTGCCTTCCCAGACCTCCTGCGTCGCCGTTGTGGTCTTCGCGGCGAGGACCCACGGGCCGCCAGACCCCTTCCCTATGGGCACTAGTCCAGCCCACGGGGTCTGCTTGACGGCCCTGGGACCCGAAGAGAGGGGCATTCCAAAGGCCCGAAAGAAACTCCTCTGAACCGTCGCAGCACCGCCCACGACGCGTGCAGGCATGGGTCCGCCCTCCCTCCCCACGGCTGCCCCATCCAGACGCGCCTGCTGGACCGGGCGGCGCACTGTTGAAGCGCCTGCCTCGAGCTCTTCACGGGCCAGCTGTCGGTAGCGATCTGGGCGTAGCTGTGAACGTCGCTGTGAACGGTCGGCCTGGCCGTGCGGCGGGGGAGGGCGAAGAGGAGAGGGAAGAGGATGAGTTGGCTCGGACCTCGGGCCTCTCGACGGACTCGTGCCCGGCACGGCCATGACAATATTTTAGCGCGTCGCTGCGGCGGCCCCGGCGACACGCTATGTGTCGCTCCGCTCCACTGGGCGGAGGGGTGAGCAAAAACTCGGGACACCGACGCCTCGAGTCCAGGGCCGCGCACAGCGCGTCGCGCCGAAGCGTGGCGGGCCGGGCCTGGCGGGGCGACACGTTGAGCCAGAGCTCCTGACCGTTGTTTGCGATCTTCGGTGCCTGGCAGCGTACAGTCGAGCTCGATCGGACAGGACACGCGAGAGGACACAAAGACCCTTCCGAGGGCCACATTGCCGCAGGAATGTGGGAGGCACGGGTCGCGAGACACAGGACACAAGGGTACCCCTGATTTGGCAGGGTCGACTTCCTCATCTGGGCCGACTGTAAATGGGGCGGGGCACGGCGGCCAAAACTGGTCGTGCCGAGAAGCCGGTGGCAGGGAAGGGCCCAGGTCTCCACAGGCCAGCGCGCCGCAAACATCCGGCCGTCGAAATGTCGCCGCGCATCGACACAGGGCGGCATCCGTCGGCGCTCGAGCACTTTCTCTCTTGGCAGGCCGGGCGCGGCGCGCGGCGCGCGGCCGCCCGCCGCGGGACAGCCCGCTTCCCACAGCCAGCTGCGGTAGCAGTTCAGCCGCCGCGGGGCAAGAGGGAGGGCGCGCGTCGCCGGAAGGGGGGGGGCGCGGTGCGGTGACAGGAAGCAGGCGGCAACGCGCGGCGCCGCGGGCCTGCGAGAGCAGCTGCTGGGAGACGGTCGCCCGCTGAGCCAGGAGTGGCCGAGACTTGTGGCAGATGTGACTGCGAGAGCGAGGCGTCGGTGGCACCTCCTGCGGCCGCCCTCCAGCGCTGCGGAATCAGTCCCGCCCCCCAAACCAAGACGAACCAGCGGACGCTCGGGGGGTAAGAGGAAGAGGGGGGGGAGGAGGAGGAGGAGGAGGAGGAGGAGGAGGAGGAGGAGGAGGAGGAGGAGGAGGAGGAGGAGGAGGAGGAGGAGGAGGACGGGGAGGAGGAGGAGGAGGACGAGGGGGAGGATGAGGAGGAGGAGGACCGAAAACCATGAGTCATCAACGATGATGGAATTAAGCCTCCCTCAACGCTCCCTCTTCATAGGCCCCTACAACGGGTCATTTCCACTGAGGGAACTGCCTCGTTGGAAGACAACCGTTTGAAGATCCTGAAGCGTGCCAAAACATTGTTCTCGGGTTTTCAACGCCATGTATCAACCTGATTGCTGCGTCTTGACGATCCAGAATCGTGCCAGAACGCCATTTTGGGGCTTCAACACAGCGAATCAACACAACTGTTGCGCCCAGATCATCCTGATTCCTTCCAACACACCATTTCTGGTACGCTGATCAAGGGAATCCGCGAAACTCTTGCAACTTTTGAAAACGAATGTGCGCGGCGCTAAAGCGAGAACCACATTTTGAAAAGGAACCGGCCT